TTGATGAGGTTGATCTTTCATCATTGCTGGAGCGTGCCATCTTGTTCCTCACCATCCGAACACGTGCGGGCCAATGACTGTTCGCATATCTCAAAAGCCATGTAACCTTGATCGTTTTTCGACCATGTTGATTCTGTTGACTTTTTGTGTGACGCTATGTCGCAAATGGTGTTAGACAAGTGTTGTCTCCGAAGGCCTGCAAGCAAAGCCATGCATGTCGTGGCTGTTGGTTGCTTCCCAAAGACAAAAAAAAGAAAGAAAAAAAGAAAGAGAGAAAGAAAGAAAGAAAGAAAGAAAAACAAAAAGAAAATAAACAAGAATAAGATCACACACACACACACACGGCGCTCAAACTACCAAGCTGTGCTTCAGATCACGTCATAAAGCACGAGAAGTTTCCCGCCTGGCAGACTTTTGGGCCCTGGCAAGCGTTGTCTTCCCTCAAGCACCAGGGCTGTAGGAGGTTCAAGTCCCTGGCATCCTGGGGGTCCAGGATGAAGACGTTGTGGTCCTGGCAGGGTGAGATACTCGTTTGAATCAAAACACAAATCGTACCCCCAGTGAACATCCCAATCCCCTCTAAAATAGGATCTAAAATGGGTGGTGAATTCACCTAGCCCAAAATGGTACCATTGGTTTTGACCCACAGCCGTTTGAACATGTGTAAACAGCTATTGCTTCAACCTCCTTTTGGTTCTTTTCTCCTTAAACTCAGCCCCGTGGCCGTGGGAACCAACAGCAAAATGAAGAAAAACAGACGTGCCACTGGGCAACTGAGTCAAGGAGACCGCCATGGTTCAAACAAGTTTCGCCCACCCCTGTCTTGTGGGTCTTGCTTGCCCTCGGCGCAGTTTGGAGCTAGATCGTCATCGCCAGTATCGCCGGTGCTGAACTCGAAGCCGCTACGAATCGCGCTGCAAATACAGACGCTCAGGAAAACATGGACAGGCACTATGTACATATCAAGATGGCATACTACTTGGAAGCTGGCGAACGAGCTCGTTCGCCTGAGCCACAAACCAGAAACGCGCAGGGCAGTGAGGTAGCTCAAAGGTTGCAAATCCTCGAGTGTCGCGCCAAGGAACTTGACGTGACTGCAACAAGTCAACAAAATGTTTGCCTGAAAACGGAATGGATGCAGGACATCTAAGAGGTCGACAACCCCTTCTGAAGGCAATATGGAAACCTGTTCTCGCGCCTGCGGGTCATTCCTCCGGGTGGTGGTATCTGCCATCAGGTCAACCTTGAGTTCCTGGGACAGACCGTTCTGCCATCCCACGAGGATGACAATCTGCTTGTGCCCGACTCCTGCCTCGGGACTGACAGCCATACACCCATGATCAATGCGCTCGGCATCATGGGCTGGGGCGTCGGTGGCCTCGAGGCAGAAGCAGTCCTGTTCGGAGAAACAACGCCTGTCAACGTGCCCCGTGTCATCGGACTGGAACTTACAGGCGCCCCTTCTGATGAAATCATGGCGACCGACATCGCACTTGTCATTGCAGAGAAACTGCGCGCAGTTGGCGTAGTGGACACATTTGTTGAACTGTTCGGGCCAGGCTATCGCACGTTGAGCGTCGCGGACCGGGCGACAATCGCAAACATGGCTCCCGAATATGGATCAACAATGGTTTTCTGCCCGGTCGACGAGCGGACAATCGGCTATCTTCGTGACACCGGACGCGGCAGGAGTGCGAACCTCACCGAGATCTACAGCAAGGCACAGGATCTGTGGGTCGATGGCTCCGACACGAATGTGGAGTATGATGAGGTCGTCGGTCTTGACCTCGGCCGGATCGGGCGTTCGGTGTCCGGGCCGTCTCGTCCCGAACAGCGGATCGACCTGGCGGATGCCAGCGAGCGGTTGAAACTCAAGGGAGAAACGGAGCGCAGGGTACCGGTTCTGGGCACGTCACATGACATCGGCGATGGCGATGTGATCATTGCCGCGATCACCAGCTGCACGAATACCGCCAATCCCCGCAACATGGTGGCCGCCGGCCTGATGGCCCGAAATGCGGTCGCACGGGGCTTGAAGGTCCCACCTCATGTCAAGACGTCTCTCGCTCCCGGATCAAGAGTTGTGGCGAGCTATCTGGAGGAAAGCGGTCTGCAAGACCCGCTTGACGCGCTCGGCTTTGAAATCGCGGCGTTTTCCTGCTCGACCTGCAACGGCATGTCGGGACCTTTGCATCCTGCACATGAGGCAACGATCAAGGCCGATGATGTCAAGGGCATCGCAGTGCTGTCCGGAAACCGGAATTTTGCGGGACGCATTCACCCGCTCGCGTCGCGCAACATGATAGCTTCGCCTCCCCTCGTAGTTGCCTATGCATTGACAGGCACGATCCTGAAGGACATCACCTGCGAACCACTCGGATACGACCATGACGGCGATCCGGTAATGCTGTCGGATTTGTGGCCGTCGGCAGATGAAGTGACAGAGATTGTCGAAAAATTCGTAACTCCGACAGAATTCAGCAGAAACTATGCCGCAATCAACGATGTAAATGTGCACTGGAATGATCTGGCAGCAGATGCGGGCACTTACGAGTGGGTGCCCTCGAACTACGTGTCGTTCCCACCTTTCGTCCGAAAGATCGACAAGGTCGCCGGACCTGTTGGGCCACTCAAGGGCCTGCGCCCTCTGGTCATCCTGGGGGATAGCGTCACGACCGATCACATTTCTCCTTCGGGCATCATCACGCCGGAGTCGGAGGCCGGCAGGTATCTTCAGCAACAAGGTGTCGAGCCAAGGGATTTCAAGTCCTTCGGGACGCGGCGCGGCTGCTCCGACGTTGTCGTCCGCTCCACCTATGCGAACTACAGACTGCGCAACGAGATGACCCCGGACAACGAGGGTTCCTGGACCAGGATCGAGCCGGAGGGTGAGATCACTTCCGTTTTCAAGGCAATTGAGACCTATCTCGACAGGGACCAGAAACTCGTTGTGATTGGCGGCAAGGAATATGGTTGCGGTTCTTCAAGAGATACGGCGGCCAAGGCGCCCTGGCTCGCCGGCGTCCGCGCAGTCATTGTGGAGAGCTTCGAGCGGATCCATCGCTCGAACCTTGTGAACATGGGCATCGCTCCGCTCTGCTTTCCCAAGGGCGTCACGCGCCGGACGCTGCGCCTCGACGGAAGTGAGACATACGATATAGATATTGACGAGGATCTGCTGGGAGCCAGGCTGACAGTGCATCGCAAGGACGGCAGCTACGACATGACACCTCTTGACCTTCGCCTTTACAATGATGGCGAGCGGGACACATTCGCTGCCGGCGGCCTGTTGCCGCGCGCATTCCGAAAATTCCTTGCAGGAGCGGCATGATGCAGAAGCGGTTGCGGGCTGCCTTCTATCGCGGAGGAACATCCAAGGCGGTCGTATTCAACGGCAAGGACCTGCCGGACGACCGTGCGATTTGCGACCGGATTTTCCTTCATGTCTTGGGCAGTCCCGACGCCTACGGCCGCCAGCTGAACGGCATGGGTGGCGGCCTGTCCTCGCTGTCCAAGGTTGTCATCGTCAGGCCTTCGGACCGCGAGGATGCCGATGTCGATTACACCTTTGTCCAGATCGCAGTCGATGAACCGCTGACCGATTACGGATCGGCGTGCGGGAACATGGCCTCCTGCGTCGGGCCTTTTGCCGTCGAAGAAGGCATGATCAGCCTGCAGCCTGGACAGACCGAAGCGCTTGTGCGGATCTATGACACCAATACCGACCGGCTCTATCACGCCGGTTTTCCGGTTCTGGATAGCAGACCTGTCGAGCAGGGAGAGGTCCGGATACCAGGCGGTTCGGGCACAGGTGCACCCGTCGTGCTCGACTTTCTTGCGCCGGGCGGTGCGGCGACCGGAAAACTGCTGCCCAGCGGCCGGCCGATCGACGACCTGAGGGGGGATGGGGTCGGACCTGTCACGGTGTCGCTGATTGATGCGGCAAACCCTGTTGTCTATGTCCGGGCGACGGATCTGGGAAAAACAGCGACAGAGCGTCCCGAAACCCTTGACGGCGATGCCGTTCTCATGGGCCTGCTCGAGAAAATTCGCTGCGCGGGTGCAGTCGCGATGGGGATGGCAGATACCACCGGCGACGTAAAGCGTTCGACCCCCAAGGTCGCCCTCGTCGGTGCCGCGCAAACGTTCACCTCTCTTGACGGCGAAACGCACGGGCCCGAAACCCATGACCTGAATGTACGGCTGGTGTCCATGGGCAACTTTCATCGGGCAATCACACTGACCGGCGGCATGTGTACGGCGGTTGCGTCGCAGATACAGGGGTCACTGCTGCAGGAAGCCTCGAGCGCAGCCGGACCCGACCTGAGAATTGGCACGCCTTCAGGTGTGTTGACCGTGACAGCTGACGTGCGCACCGGTGACCAGGGTCCGGAAGCCGTGACCGCCGGAACCTACCGGACACAGCGGCGGATCATGGAAGGTGCCGTCCTTTATCCTGCCGAGTATCTGGAGGACGCGTCATGAGCAACAGTTTGGCCGGCAATCTGACCGGGTTTTCAACCTGTGACCTGAACGATGCCAATCCCGGCAAGGTCCACTTCGTGCATTTGTCTTTTCGTGACTTCGGAGCGAAGAGGCGATTTGCCGGAAGACTACGAACCGCGGTCATGGTCGAGGACACAAAACTTGTGCAAGAAACGCTCTTTTCGTCAAAAGGCAATGGCGATGTCATCGTGCTGGACGGAGGAGGTTCACTTCGTACCGCATTGCTGGGTGACAGGATGGCTGAACGACTGATCGCGAACGGTTGGGCGGGCATTGTCGTCAACGGTGCAGTGCGGGACGTCCGCCGCCTCGCCGATCTGGACCTTGGCGTGAAGGCTCTCGGAACCAGCCCGATACGCTCGGGCAAGACGGGAAGTGGAGCAATCGATGTGCCGGTTGCCTTTGGCGGCGTTCTCTTTGAACCGGGAAAATACATCTACTGCGACGAGGATGGCGTTCTTGTTTCTCAGGAGCCCCTGACCGCCTAGGCGCCCCTAGGGCTGAACCATGGCGTTGAGCCACGCCCGTATGAAGGTTCGCCGTTTCAACTGGTCCAGATACACCAGCAATCCCGGACCAAGCCGTATCGGACGGAAGGCGGCCTCGCGTTGCAGGACACCCGGATCAATGGCCGGTAGCCCGGTCAGATCCTCAATCAGGTCGCGGTTGTCTTCCGACACCAGGAAATCGACGAATTGTCCGGCCAGATCGAGATTTCCGGCTGTCTTGGGTATCAGCACGGTGCGCAACATCACGGTCGTGAAATCACTGAACTGAAGAATGCCCAGATCCGTGTTGTCGGCAAGGTGCGCAGCTGCATAGCTTCCAAGAACATTGTAGGCGAGCGCCAATCGCCCCTCGACCACATCACGGATCATCCGGCTGGAACAGCAATAGAGCCGGGCGTCGAGCCGGCCCATTACTTCTGCCATGCGCCAGAGCGACTCGGACTGGCGCGAATCCTGCGTTGCGAACAGATAGCCGGCGCCGCTTTCCCGGATGTCATAGGTACCTACCCTGCCCTGGAAACGGTCCGGGTTTTCGCGCAGCAGGGCGATAAGTTCATCGCGATTTGTCGGCTGTGGAAGACCTTCGAACGCAATCTTCGAGTACACAAGGACCGCCGGTTCCTGTGTGAAGGCGTAAAGGCGATCTCGCCACTTCGCCCAATCCGGCAGCGACGCGGTTTCCGTTGAAACATAACGCTCTGCGAACCCGTCATTCACGAGCTTTGTCTGAAGATCCATGGCAGATGAAATTGCAATGTCGAACTCCGCGTCCTCTTCATAAAGAGCTTTCATGAGTTCGCTGCTCGACGCGGTCACATAGTGTACTTCAACAGTAGGATTGCGGGCCTGGAAGGCTTCGACCAACGGCGCAAAAACACTGAGGTCCGCGGTTGACAGAATGTTCAGTGTCGCCGCCGGACGATCGACTTCAAAGAGGCGTTCCTCTTCGGCCACAAAACCGTGGGCGGACGTCATCTGGACCCAGATCCATCCGATCAGGCCGAGGGCAATGTAAGAGACGCGCATGTTCCCCTCCTTTCCGGATTGTCGGTCAACGCAAGTGACCCGCCATGAGCGTTCACGACCTCCTCCACGATTGTCAGCCCCAGCCCCGATCCGATAATATCGCGCACGTTGTCGCCCCTGCCGAAGCGTTCCGTCAAGCGGCTGCGATCACCGTCTCCCAGACCCCTCCCCTCATCAAGGACATCGATCCTGACAGTTGAAGCGTCTTCGGATATTTCCACCTTTCTCCGGCTGTCCTCCGGCGAGTATTTGACCGCATTGTCCAGAAGATTGCGCAGCGCGTTCTGCAACAGGATCGGGTCGCCCTCGACCGCGCTCGTCGTGTCGGATCCGGAGCAGGTTATGCGGATATCCTTGAGATCCGCCGTCGGGCTGATCGACCGGATCACGTCTTGCGCGAGATCCTTCATGTTCATTTGTTCTTTCTCCAGATTGTCGGAGCGCAGGGCAACCATCGCATGATCGAGCAGCTGTCCGGCAGAGCGCGAACCTTCGTCTGCCGCGCGGATCACCTCGCGCAGGATCTGCTTGTTTTCCGGTTTTCGCACGCTGCGCAGGGCAATTTCCGATTGGGTTCTGACGGTCGCCAGCGGGGTACGGACGTGATGGGCGGCTTCAGCTATGAAATCCTCCGTTCGTGCCAGCGAAGCGCTCAGCCTGGCCATGAAGGTGTTGAGTGACTGAAGCAGCGGCACGAGTTCCGTCGGAGCTGATGTCGCCACCGGGCTCAGGTCCTGAGGGCCACGCCGCTCGACAGATTGTGCCAATCGATTGAGCGGACGCATTGCATTGTTGGTGGCAAACCAGCTGAGTGCACCGGACAACAGGAAGAAGCCGATGCCGGCAGCGGCCGCAGCAATGGAGATCTGCAGCGAAACGGCGGCGAGGCCAAGGCGTGTCTGCGCGACGAGTACCGTCAGGATCACGGTCTCGTCCCCGACGGTCAGTCGCCGCGGCAACGCGGCGATCCGCACTTCGTCATCCCGGTAGATTGCCGTTGCAAATACGGGCTTTCCGGTCTCGGCGACGCTGGCTGGTGCCGGCAGATCATCGTACCCGGTGACCGTGAGATCATCGGCGGTAACCCGATAGAAACCGCGTTCCTCCGCGATCGAACCAAGCATGGAAAGTGCCGAATAGGGGACGTCGACCAGAATCTGTCCACGTTCTGCCCTGGCAGCTTCGGAAATCGCCGTTGCCGACGCGATCAGGATATTGTCCTGGGTGGTCTCGGCCGCTTGCTGGGCGAGCACGCGCACAGTGAAATAGAGCGCAAATGACAGGATTGCGGCGACCAGCAGCAGCTGTAGCAAAAGCCTGCGCCTCAGTGACCCTCGTGCGTGTACAACGGTCATGTGGCGGTCATCCGGTAGCCGACCCCGCGCACCGTCTCGATTCTGACGCGTCCCCCCTGCAGCTTTTCCGGACGCGTCCGACATAGACCTCAATCGCATTTTCCGAAACTTCCTCGTCGTAGGAAAACAGCCTGTCGACCAGGTGAGACTTCGAAAAGATCATGTCGGGGGCGGAAAAGAATACTTCCAGCAGACGCAACTCGCGGTTCCTCAATTCGAAAACACTGCCGGCAACGGCGACGGTTCCGGCAAGTGGATCGAAGACCACGTCCTCATAGGTTTTCTGGTTGCGGGCGGCACCCTGTCGCCGTCGCAGGACGGCCCTGCACCGGGCTTCCAGCTCTGAAAAGTCAAACGGCTTGGTGATGTAGTCGTCAGCGCCAAGGTCAAGCATACGGACGCGGTCGGAAACTTCGGAACGCGCCGTCAGCACGATCACGGGTGTGTCGTTGTCGCAGGTCCGGTGCCATTCCAGAAAGTTTCGCCCATCGCCATCCGGCAGCATAATGTCAAGCAGTATGAGTTCGTATCCGGTGCCCGCCAAACAGTCCGCTGCTGTCTCCAGATCCGGCGCGTGGTCAACGACATGCCCGTCAAGCCCCAACCGTTCAACGATGGCTGCAGCCAGTTTTTCATTGTCCTCGATCAGCAGGAATCGCATTTATTCGGCCATTTTCCCATTTTTTTTGTGACGTGACAGGTTCGTGTCAGCTTTCCCAATACTTTTGGTGTTTGCAAGGGGCTCGTGAAGCCCCGGCGTGTCCGGGAGGAAAACATGACACTTATAAAGATGACCCGTCGGGTCGTATTGGCGGCGGCTGCCGCATCCCTTTCATTTGCACCGCCATCATTTGCCGAAGAAGCAGTTGACAGCATTCACTTCCTGATTCCGGGTGGTGCTGGCGGCGGCTGGGACGGTACAGCGCGCGGAACGGGCGAAGCCCTGACCAAGGCTGGTCTCGTTGGCTCCGCGTCATACGAGAACATGTCAGGCGGCGGCGGCGGTAAGGCCATCGGGTACCTGATCGAAAACGCAGACAGCAACCATGGCACGCTCATGGTCAATTCGACACCCATCGTGATCCGCTCACTCACGGGTGTGTTTCCGCAAAACTTCCGTGACCTGACACTGGTCGCCGGCACGATTGGCGACTATGCCGCTCTCGTTGTGCCCGCCGACAGTTCGGTCAAGGACGTCAACGGTCTCATCGACGCCTTCAAAGCTGATCCTGCGGGAACCGCGATCGGCGGAGGTTCGGTTCCGGGCGGAATGGACCATCTGGTTGCTGCCATGGTGTTTCAGGCAGCCGGCGCTGATCCGGTCGCTATGAAATATGTCCCCTATGATGGTGGTGGCAAAACGATGGCCGGCTTGCTGTCCGGCGAAGTCCAGGCTGTTTCGACCGGCTTTTCCGAGGCCGTAGAACTGGCAAAGGCCGGTGAAGTCCGCATCATCGGTGTCACGGCGCCGGAGCGCGTCGATGCCTATCCGGATGCCGCAACCATGGTCGAGCAAGGAAACGACACGACATTCGTCAACTGGCGCGGGTTCTTTGCCGCACCCGGTTTGCCGGCAGATAACCTGGCCGCATACCAGGCTGCGATCGCAAAGATGTACGACACCCCTGAATGGGAAGAAGTCCGGGCACGCAACGGCTGGGTGAACATCCACAATCCCGGCGACGACTTCCGCGTGTTCCTGGAAGGTCAGGAACAGACCATCGGCGATCTCATGAAAAAGCTGGGCTTCCTTTGAGCCACGACCGGCAACGCTGACAAGAAAGATACGTTCGGGCTCGCCCGAACGTATCACCCATGAAAACTACGGGGGGAACGATGGCGCTCGATCGCTGGCTGGCATTGGTCATCTTGCTGATCTGCCTGGCCTATGGCTACGCAGCTTACTTCACCATGGACGCGCTTTTACCGCCGATCATGAAACGCAGTCCAAACTGGCCATCAAGCTTTCCGAAAGTCTTGGTTATCGGAGCCATTCTGCTGTCGCTGAGCATCTTGCTGGGCCTGGAAAAATCTCCCGACAAGTCGGACGCGGCGGATATCAACCTGTCGCGTTTGCACGAATACCAGGTCGGCCAGGCGGTTCTGCTCCTGGTCCTGATGGTGGCGTATGCGCTTCTGCTTCGTCCTATCGGTTTTCTTGCGGCGACCTTTCTGTTTCTGAGCGTCGGCAGTTTCATTCTCGGTGAGCGCCGCTTCGGTTTGATGATCCTCGTTGCGGCAATCGCTGCCGGCACGGTCGGGTATCTGGTGGACGTGGTGCTTGGAATATTCCTGAGCCCGTTCCCGATGTTTTTGAGTGGAGGCTGAGATGCTTGAAGGACTTCTGGCAGGCCTTTCGACGGCCTTCACCTTTACCAACATCATGATGGTAATCGGAGGCTGCCTGATCGGCACGTTCATCGGCATGCTGCCGGGTCTCGGCCCGATGTCGATCATCGCCATCATGATCCCGGTCGCCATCACGATCGGTGACCCGTCGGCCGCCCTGATCCTGCTGGCCGGAGTTTACTACGGCGCGGTCTTCGGCGGGTCGACTTCGTCCATTCTCATCAATGCGCCCGGCGTCGCCTCGACGGTGGCAACGTCTTTCGACGGATATCCGCTGGCACGAAAAGGTCAGGCTGGCAAGGCGCTGACCGTAGCTGCGATCGCGTCGTTTTCAGGAGGCACCATCGGTGCCATCCTGCTCATGGTCTTCGCGCCGGCGCTGGCGTCGGTCGCACTGCTGTTTCATTCTTCCGAGTATTTTGCACTGATGGTCGTAGGCTTGTCGGCGATCGCCGCATTTGCCGGGACGGGCCAGGTCAGCAAGGCTCTCCTGATGACATTCCTCGGATTGATGATGGCGACTGTCGGGGAAGGTGTGCTCTTCAACGCGCCACGCTTCACGATGGGGGTCATGGACCTTCAATCCGGTTTTGGTTTCATTACGCTGGCCATGGCGATGTTCGCATTGCCGGAAGCCATCTTCCTCGTGCTTGATCCGGGACGGTCCAAGACCGGGGATGGCAGCGACAGTGGCAAGATCAAGAATTTGCGCATAACCAGGGAAGAGGCACGCAAGATTACACCGGTCATCGGGCGCCAGTCGCTCCAGGGGTTCTTCATCGGGGTTCTTCCTGGCGCCGGCGCAACAATCGCCTCGTTTCTGGGTTACGCGGTCGAGCGCAACATCGCATCCAAGGAAGAACAGGAAGAATTCGGAAAAGGCTCCGTCAAGGGCATTGCCGCACCGGAGAGCGCGAACAACGCAGCCTGTACAGGGTCCTTCGTTCCGCTTCTTACCCTGGGTATCCCTGGATCCGGAACAACCGCGATCCTGCTGGGTGCGCTGATTGCGCTCAATGTCAGCCCGGGTCCACGCCTGATGGTGGACGAACCGCAAATCTTCTGGGCGGTCATCATTTCCATGTATCTCGGAAATCTGGTGCTTCTCATCCTGAACCTGCCGCTGATCCCCTATATCGCCAAGGTCCTGGCGGTTCCGCGCAACTACCTGATCCCGTTCATTTTGTTCTTTACGCTGATGGGTGCCTATATCGGACAGAACAACGCGACCGAACTCCTGCTTCTGGTCGGATTCGGGATCTGTGCGACACTGTTCCGTTTTGCGGACTACCCTCTCGCGCCGCTCCTGATAGGGTTCATTCTCGGCCCGCTGCTGGAGAACAACTTTTCGCGGGCAATGCAGCTTTACGACGGAATTGGTTTCGTCTGGGAACGTCCGATGACGCTGGGATTGCTGATACTGGCCGTCATGCTGGTGGTGTTGCCCGGATATCGGGCTCGGCGCGCGCGGCTCCGGGCAGAAGGCGTGGCCGACGGGGATTGAGCCGGACCGAACAAAAGGAAACGCCAGGTGTCAAAACCCCTTGCAGGCATTCGAGTTCTTGACCTGACCAATGTTCTTGCCGGCCCTTTTTGCTGTCATCATCTGGCACATCTCGGTGCCGAGGTCATCAAGGTCGAGGCTACCGGTCGAGGCGATCTTGCGCGTCGGCTGGGCGCTGATCCGGACCTGAACGACAAGGGCATGGGCGTTTCCTTCCTCGCGCAGAATGCCGGCAAGAAATCCGTCACGGTCAATCTCAAGCATCCAAAGGGAAAGCAGCTCTTTCTCAAGCTGGTGAAGACCGCAGACGTGTTGGTTGAAAACTTCCGACCGGGAGTGATGAAGCGGCTTGGCGTCGATTACAATACGCTCAAGAAAGAAAAGCCTCAGCTGATCTATTGCGCGATCTCCGGGTTCGGACAGGACGGACCCTGGGTCCACCGGCCGGCTTACGACCAGATCATTCAGGGTGCATCCGGCGTCATGTCGATCACGGGTGACAGCGAAAGTGCGCCCCTGCGCGTCGGATATCCGGTTGCCGATACCGTTGGAGGCATAACTGCCGCATTTGCCGTCGCCTCTGCTCTGAACGCCTCGCCGAGAGGTAGCTTCATCGACGTCTCCATGCTTGAATCGGTGCTGGCCACCATGGGATGGGTGGTTTCGAATTATCTGAATGCCGGCGTTGAACCGGCCGCCAACGGAAATGAAAACGTGACGTCTTCGCCCTCCGGGGCCTTCGAAGCAGAACACGGACTTCTCAATATTGCCGCAAACAAGGACGAGCAGTGGATTTTGCTAACGGACCATCTGGGACTGGGCGCGCTCCGCGAGCGACCGCAATACGCCACGCGTGAAGACAGAAAGCGAAACCGGCTGGCTTTGAAAGCCGAGCTTGAAACAGTTCTGAAAACACGGCCTGCGCGCGATTGGGCCAAGGAACTCAACAGGATAGGTGTTCCATCCGGTGCGGTGTTGACTGTGCCGGAGGTTCTGGAAATGCCACAGGTCGCAGATCGTGGTTTTCTGAAGACGTTCCAGGACGTGCCCGGTGTTGGCCGGGATATTTCCGTGACGACGACAGGGATCAAACTGGACGGAGAAGCCCCTCGTGTCGACGATCCTCCGCCTCTTCTTGGCGAACACAACAATGAAATCTGGACTGACCTCGGTCTCAGTGAAGCGGAGTTGACCGAATTGGAGAACGACGGCGCGCTGTGAGCCTTGTGAGCAGCCACCTTTCCGATTGATGCCCGACCGAAATACCAGGCATGGCGCCAGAACAGACCCCGCGTCGTCCTGTGCTCATGCCCGTGTTTCCGTGTGCAGCCTGCGGACGCGGGAGTTGGGCCGGTGTTCAGATGTGCAGGATCATCGCGGCCGCGGGACCGTTGCAATACAGCGGCTGCATTCGTTTGACCCTTGCTGCTGCGGCTTGCTCGCAGAGTGCCTCCTGGCTCAGAAATTGTCCGCGGCCGGTGAGTGCGATGTGATGGCGCATGGCCATGCCGAACAGGGAGCGTGTCGGTCTGTCAGCACAATAGACAAGAAAGATGTATCCACCGGACCGGGTCACACGCACGAACTCGCTCAATGCCGACTGAGTTTCGGAAATCGTCTCGATGCCCCAAGTACAGGTCAGAAGATCAAAGCTGTTTTCCGCAAACGGAAGATTTGTCATGCATCCCAGCACCCGGGTCGCTGGAATGTCTGCGCAGGTTTCCAGCATGGTTCTGGAGGCATCAAGCAGGACGAACTCGATACTCCCATCGGTTCCCGACATCAGGCGGCGAGCCATATCGCCGGTTCCGCATGCAACATCAAGCACATTCATTCCGGGTCGCAGCGAAGCCGTCAATGCTCCTTCGATTGCACACTGCGCCTCACCGCCGGCATGACGTAACCATCGCGAATGCGATCTTGCATAGCGACTGCCGCTGAACACGTCAGGGCGAGGCGACCGACGCAAACGCAGGGCGCCGGGATCACAGGTCCGCATCATTGCCTGGTACAATTCGAACAACAGATCCCATGAGACGACCAAGACCGACGCTGTGATGCTCGATGCCGGAGCCCTTCTTGTAGACATTCGTGCAAAATGTTCTTCCAGCCTCGACAACGTCAATGCAGTAGCTTGAGTCGGCTGAAAGCTTCCAGGTTCCGGTAATCTTTCGAGCAGGAAGGTCCGCGGCGAATGTCCCATCGTGACCATAGTAAAATGGAGACAGACCGCCTTTGCCGAACGCACCGTCACCGGGCAGGACATCAATGTAGACCGTGTTGCCCTGCAGATAGCCTTCCACCTGTTTTCCAGCGAGCCTTTCAGATTTGTCCGCAGCTGAACCAGTGCTGAGACCTGCGGCCAGAACGGCAAGGACAAGTATGTGTTTCTGGAATGTTTTGAACATTTTTTCCCTCTTGAATACCGTTGGAGATCCGTAGGTCATTCGCGCAGGGCAAAATTCACACGCGCAAATCCATAAATCAAATTGATAGAATTTATAAATAATATATATTTTTGATTATGTTGGATATTCGCCTGCTCCAGACACTGATTGTTCTTGACGAAGAAAGAAGCGTGACATCGGCCGCCCGGCGCATGGGGGTCAGTCAACCGGCCATGAGCACAACGTTGCGGCGCTTGCGGGATCTGTTTCAGGACCCGTTGTTCGTTCGTGCATCCAACGGCCTTCTCCCGACAGATACCGCCGTCGACTTGCTGAAAAAAGCGCGGGAAATCGTGCACTTGGTCGACACGCTGGAAGCGGAGAAAACTCCCTTTGACCCAAAGATAGCGGAGATGGAAATTCGCATCTCGGCATCGGACTTCGCGCTGTCGAGCATCTTGCCAAGTCTGATACGGAAGCTTCAAAACGACGCTCCGAATGTCAGGATAACGGTTGCTCCACTGGTGATCGACACAGTCGTCGACTCATTGGAAAATGGGTCTCTCGACCTGACGGTCCTGCCGAATTTTCTGGCGCCGGACAACATGCAGATCAGAAGGCTTTTTGAAGCTGATTTCAATTATCTCATGCGGGACGGTCATCCATTGCTTGAGGAGCCGGTCACGCTGGCAGCTCTGTCCCGATGCGAGCATCTGAGGGTTGCGCCGATATCCGTCCATCGTGCGAACCGCATCGAGAAAATATTCGGCAACGCAGGCCTGAACCGCAGAGTGCGACTGACGCTGTCCAACTATGTCTCGGCGTTCGAAGTTGTGAGAAACACCGATCTGATCATGTTGACACCACGCAACATCGTTCGGGAGCTGGGTGTCGGGTTTGCCACGTGCGAACCACCCTTCAAACTCGACCCAATCGCAATGAGTCTGATCTGGCATCCGAGGAAACAAAACTCGAAATCGCATCGCTGGGTGCGTGATTATCTGGCCGAGGCGGTCAGGTCTGCTCCGGAGGCGATGTGTCCGGCCGATTGATTTCTCGAGGTTCATGCGCAAACAGGCAGCGAACCATCCGGGCCCTCGCACGCGAAAACACCGCGTCGGTGCAACGGACACCGGAATAAACAGACAGTGTGGCTGGATTCCTCCGGTTTCGCAGAGCCATATTGGCGCTGGCCCTGCTGACCGCTTGCGCCGAGGATCATCGAAATTTCCTGATCCGGAGATATCTGGCACTGGTTCGCGCTAACGACTAGTCTGCTACCCAGGAAAATCATCCGATTGTCTTCGCAGAAAAATGCGGGAGCTTGTGCCCATTCTTGAATACGTTCTCACATATTGCACGCGCGCCGTACCTTGTGTGCTGTTGACGCTGTTTTTCAATGTGGCGTCGCAAGCCGGGGCGCCGTCCAGTGCCAGGGACTGGATCCGGCAAGCCACCACGCATGTCTGCGGCAAGGCGGATATGAGCGGTCTTCAGATACAGAACGCTCTTGCAGGCAGCTGGCTGCTTGAAGAAAGCTACCAGCCAAACGAGACCGCGCCTGTCAGAACAAGCTTTCGACTGGCATTGCCGGGAGGCGATGAGATGACACTTGAATCGCGCCTGGCCATCGGAATGCTTCGTCAATTCCGCGCTTCCTATTCAAAGTTCGACGGCAATGAACTCAGACCGGCTCTTCTTGCGATTGCCGATGGCAGCTGTACGGTTCGCTCTGCCCGCCAGATCCGCGAGGAAGAAGGCCCCTGGATCTTTCTCGATCAGCTCGAGGATGACCTTGAAACACTGAGGTGGGCAGAAACACTTCAGGCTCCCTGGCCGGAAGGTGATGACCCGGGTGGTGTCAGGGTCGCACTCGTCGATTCAGGACTTGCCTACGATCTGCCGCTCTTTGCGAGCCGCCTTGCGCGCGACGACGACGGGCAGCCAATCGGATTTGATTTCTGGGACATGGATCCCTGGCCTTATGACGGAGACACTTCCCGCGGGCCATTTCTGCCGATACGGCACGGAACGGCTGTTGCCTCCATATTGGCACGAGAGGCCCCGAACGCCGCGCTCGTCCCCTATCGCTATCCTCGGCCGGACATGAGCAGACTGACCGACCTGGTCGAACACGCTCTCGAACATGGGATAAAGATCATCGCCATGCCGCTCGGGAGCCGGAACCCGGACGATCGGAAAGCATTCGAAGACGCGCTGAAAGACAAGGACATTCTGGCAATCGTCTCCGCCGGCAATGACGGACGGGACATCGACAATGACCCTGTCTACCCGGCGGGGCTGGAGCTTGAGAACATCCTGACGGTCACGTCCGCAGATGCCTTCGGCAGACTGGCGACGGGTTCCAACTGGGGTGGCAAAAGCGTCGACATCATGCTGCCTGCGGAAAACATCGAGGTGACGGATTTCAGAGGCGCCACCGGCGTGACATCGGGATCAAGTTATGCGGTGCCTCGACTTGCCGCGCTGGCAGCGCGCATTCTTGCCGATGACCCGGGTCTTACGGTACCGGAACTCAAGGCAAGGATCCTCGAACGCGCATCACCTTCCCCGTTTGAGCGGCAAGGCGCTGTTGCGACAGGATGGATTCCCGACCCGGATACAGATTGAGCCTTACCTGCGCCGCGGCGCGGGCGGCGCACTGTCAATGAAACGGCGTGCCGCCTGTGCTTGCCTCGGATCTGCCTTCAGCAACGCCCGATATCCCGCTTCGGCCAGTTCCGGATCGCCGCCCCAAACACCTGATTGAATGGAAAACCGCAGCGCCTGCGGGTCGTCGGGCGCAGCATTGAGAAGCCAGCGGGCATGGTCGGTCATGTCTTCAAAACGGGTCGCCAGTTGGAGCGAAACCAGAAGAGACATCCGGGAATTGATGGAGTTCGGCACCTGATCAGACGCTTGTCCATGACGGCTTATCGCGGCGTCGAAGTCCCCCGCTTGAGCCAGAAGGCGTCCTGCTTCCAGGAGCTGGCCATGGTTCGACGACGCTTTGCATGTTTTGGAAAGCTGTCCAAGCGCCTCCTCCTGCCGTTCACCTGCCAGAACGGAATCGATGGCGGTCGCACACGCGGCGAAATTGATCCCGAGCCGGTTCGTCATCCTGGTGGCTTCGGGACTTTCCCGCTGCTGTAGGAGCAATTGTATCGCCGAGACGGGTATGGCCTCGTACCTGCCGTCTCCACCACCCACTGCGATGCCTGCAAGGTCTCCGTCCCCGTCGACCAGAGCTCCACCGCTGACGCCGGGTTGCATGCGGGCACGCACGTGGAGCCGCCCGAGATCGGCTCCTTCCGCAGGCGCCAGAATAAGTTCGCCGGGCTCGAAGACACGCACTTCCCGTCGCGCAATGTCGGCACCAATTGCGTAGTATGGTCCTTCTGCCGGTCTTGCCGACGCCGGATCTAGTATCTGTCCGTCTTCGGGCAATCCATCCACCTTCAAAAGGACAAGATCACCGCGAAAGGCTGACGGAACGACCTTGGCGGTTTTCGGACCGCCGGGAGTATGAACCGTTGCATCCTTGCGGTTCCCGACCACATGCCGGTTGGTGACGAGCAGGTCGCTCGCGATCCTGGTCGCACTGCCGACCGGATCGAACCTGGACACCGGAAAGACAGCCTGGCGCAGCGCGCAGACTGCAGACGGATGGGGGCAATCCGGATCGGAATTTTTTTGTACATCCAAATCCGGCTGCCTGGTCGGCTCAACGAACGACAAACTGACAGTCTTCTCCGCACCGCCTCTCAGCACCCTGACATCCACAACGGTTGTTTGTGGTGGCAAAAGCGCGAGCGCCGTGAGCGCGTCGCGTGG